CGGATCTGCTTGTTAACCAGGGTTCAAAGTCCAAAGCACGAGGAAAATCTGCGCTCAAACAGTGTTACTCGTCAGTTGCTCAGTCACATTTTTATGATTTTTTTTACAAGGCACGTGACAATGCAATACGTGCGACGTATTCGTAATGAGACTCATTTATAAATCTTCTATCATCAAAAATAAGCGCTGATGTCTTCCTGCGCGTTTCCGCCAAAATAAAAGAAAAAGCAAGAACTCCATCAACATTCATAAATGTTAGTATTGTAATTTTACTGTTCTGTAAAATAAAATTGTTGTTTTGTAATAGATTTTTTTCTTTGAAAAGCAAGACAAAACCGTAAAAAGCACGTTTTGGCTATCTAATTTGTGCAATGGTGAAAAAAATTGGCAAAATACATGGGGAAAAAAACCTCGAAAAAGCGTGTTCGGTATTCGGCCCAGTGTTTCATTTTGTTCGGTTTCGGTGCATCCCTACTCACTTCTGTTTGGAATTCGCCCATAATGTATTTTACAAAAATCTCAGCTTCAGCATTCCTGAGATTGAGATACAAATGCAAAAGTTAGAGAAGAGAAGATACATGTTAAATAAAATACAAAAATAATAGGAATAATTATCTAAAAGTAATTTAAAAAGTATTATACATAATGTATACTGACAGTGTAATAATTAAATAAGAGGATTTAGTTTTCATTAATACTCAAAATACAAATTCTCCAATATTATACTTGGGTATAGTAAAAATAACTACAATTCCCTCACTTCACACCGCTGAGCCGGTGTGTGTGTGTGTGTCTGTGTGTGTGGATAAAAGAGCATGTTCTCTGTGCGTCTGACGTGAAGAATCTGATTAACTCTATTCAACAGAAATCTTCAGCTAAACGGCCCAAAGGTGATGATGTGATAAAATGAGAGATGGGAAACATAGAGGTGTGAGTGCGTGTGAGAGTGTGTGTGTGTGTGTGTGTGTGTGTGAGAGAGTGAGAGTGTGAGTGTGAGTGCGTGTGTGAGTGCGTGTGTGAGTGCGTGTGCACGCGCGTGTGTGTGCGTTACCTCACTACTTTGGAGTCTTTGCAGATGATGTGCAGCTGAAACATATCTCTGCTCTCAACGCCCTCAATCAGTCTCAGAGGAACCTGCACACACACAATCAGCCAATCAGAGAGCAGAAGACCTCATCACATGACTGCACCAACCAATCATGAGCATCAAACTAAAAAACATGCAACAATGTAACAAAAGTAACTCCTGACCTGCAACAATGTAAGAGTTTTTAACTGCAGGATAAAACATGTAACGTTGAAAGCTTTTACAGATGCCATTAAAAGCTGATTCAAACTGAAGATATGAATGCCTTTAATATACTGACATCAATTTTCAATAGTTAAAGTAATTTTAACATGGTCCCTTTTAATTATTTAATATATATCAATACGTACGATTAATATAATATAATATAATATATATAGCTTGAATCCTAATGTCACTAGACTGCATTAATGTGAGAAACAGAGAAAAACATCAAAACAAACAGTAAGGGGGCAAATTAAAGACATGAAAAGGAGGGATGAAGAGGTCAGAGGTGAGGGTGCAGATTACTCACAGAAATCTCACTGTCCACACCAGGATACATCTACAACACCGACACAGGAATGAGGAAGAGGAAGAGAGGGTGGAAAAAAAGAGGGAGATGAAAACGTGACTCAGCGAAACAAGCAAACAAAGAGGAGAACATAAATGGAAGGGTATGAAAAACGCACAGATAGAGAGAGAGATCTTTGCTGAAGTTGAGCAAAAAGATCCAGGATTGTTAAAAAAGAGCCTTAAATCTCAGGGTCACATGATGCTGCAATTCAGCTGGGTTAACCGGGTGCATAGTGCAAGGGATTCTGGGTAGCGTCATTAAGATTCCAGTCTCATGCCTGAAGGAACGTTATGTTAGCATAATGCAGATTATGAGAGAAAATCATTTCAGTTTGTAAAAACAAGAAAAAAAATGGATGTATGAAAAAAAAATCGCATTTACTTTAAAATAACAAATACTGTCATAGAGTGGCATGCGTTAAAACTAGTGTTATTTTAGTATCATTTATACACTAGTATAGTATTTATGAATATTTAAATTAGCTTTTAAGATTTTCTGTTTTAATTTTATTTTGTCAAACAGCGACATGCACTGAACATCAATGTTATTTTGTTATTTATAAACTATTATAGTATTTATGAATATTTTAAATTTGCTTTTATTTTTATATTTTCTCTTTTCATTTTATTTTGTCAAAGAGACAAGCATTGAACATCAGTGTTATTTTATTATTATTTATAAATTATTACAGTATTTATTCTTTTAAATTAGGATTTATTTTTATATTTTCAGTCTTAATTTTTGTCAAAGCGACAAGCACTGAACAGTAATGTTACTATTTTATTATTTCTACACTATTATAGTATTTATTAGTATTTTAAATGAGGGTTTATTTTATATTTTCAATTTCAATTTTTATTTTGTCAAAGCGACAGGCATTGAACATCAGTGTTATTTTATTATTATTTATACACTATTATAGTATTTATAAATATTTTGAATTAGCTTTTATTTTTATATTTTCAGTTTTTATTTTAGTTTTAGTCATTTTGTTGTTTGTCGTTTTTATTCATTTTTAATATTCCTGTTTAGCTTTGTTTTCAGTTTTAGTATAACAAACTTATTTCAGTTCATTTCTAGTTTTTTTTTTAGTTTAAGCCAGTCATCTAATGTTTATATTTTATTTCTTTAAATACAATATTATTGTGAATCATATTTTTTATTATTATTATTATTATTTATTAAATGTTATAAATAAATGTTTATATTTAATTTATTTCATTTCAGCTTTATTTCAATTAACAAAAATATATTTTTTTACTTCTTTTAGTTTTTGTTTTACAATAACAACACTGTCACACGCATAAGATCCCTTTAAACATGTCAGACCGTTGCGATGTCGAAAATGAACAGCAGGTCAAAGTTCCACCCTTAAGAACTCTAATAATGCCTCTTCTTTAAGATCAGCACTCCAGACATGAAGAGAGCCGACACAGAAATAGTAGAGAGCGCAGACAGAGTCACGCTAGGGTTAAAACACACACGTATGTACGAGATAAGAGGCTTTCCTCTGCACACTTACGGACATCAGCCATTCACTGATCATCCTACACCAATACAGTATCCAACTATATCAGGAGGATCAAAATAAGAAATCAGGAAGGGGGCCAACACTTTTTCACACCACTGTATATACACACACACACACACATACGTACATTTAAATATTTAAATATTATATGATTGCATTAATATTTATGATCATGCTATGTTAATTGGAAAAATATGTCTGTTTCAAAACAGTTTTTCCTGAACACGTGTATTTTATATTTAAATTGCACAAACCACACTTGAAAGGAATCTAAACTTCAACTTGGCTAAAGGCACAACAGCGACGCCAGCAGCAGTTTACATGCTTGACGTCAATCAGCCATTCACTGATCATCCTACACCAATACAGTATCCAACTATATCAGGAGGATCATCCTATTTTAGCCATAACATATCATCACTCATGTATATACATATATTTATGTATTTATGTATGTATATAAGAACTTAAAAATATATATAAATTTAAATATGAGGTATATATTTATTTTTAAATAAGATACTATATTTACATATTTAAATAATTATTTAAATACTTTACAATATTGTTATATTTTTATTTAAAATCCTAATATTTTTATTAAATTATAAATATAAAAATAT